ACTTTCCATCTCTATTTTTTCTTCTCTCATCTCCAATAGTGAATTTTCCTTGCTTTCTGTGGACTATATCTACTAATGTGACCGATACTTTACCTTTCAGTGTCGCCATCCATACAGATTCTATTTTTGTCTTCCTCATAGTTGAATCCCCTTTTTTAATGTCAGGCTTTCCCAATAAGCACAGCCACTCGACCCACCTTTTCTCCAACTTCTTTGAATCTGCTGAATTCTGCAATGTTCATTACTAAGTGCTGACCTTTCTGTTGACCACATTGTACTAATCCCTATTATGTCTAGTGCTTCCTAATGCTTAATTCGCCAACTCCCATTTTATGATAGATAGTGTGTGCGCATTGCTGGACTGACATTTTAAATCCATTTTTAATAAGATCTCCTCTCACTTGACATTTAATGTGGCATCGAAGTTAAATGCCAAAATATAGAAGTTCTCGTCCTATTTGCCCGTTCCTTCATAAACTTCACCAGTTTCTCAATTAAATACAACAAAAATGCTAATGGCCCATGCTATTAGGTAGAAGTGAAGATATCACCAAAATGTTAAATATTAACTGTAACTAAACTACTTGCCTAGCCCCAAAAAGTAAATTTAAGAAGTCTGGAAACTCATTTTTGCAGAATTTAATCTTTTGTTGTCGGAGATGTTTTTCACCCCTCCTTTACCTCTTTCACTCTGTTTTACTCTATCTTTCTTTTTTTGCTTTGGATAACTTAGCTTACAGATGGCAACATAATTGCACAAAGACAGATGCACATGAGAAGATGGGACAGAATGTAAAAGACACCAATAAATAGATAAATGAAGAATAGTACAAGGGAAAGCTAGCCATAAATATACAAACATAGTAAAAGTTTTATCTAAAAATTTATTTAAACATGAAAAAGGAAAACAATAAAAAAAATGAATATTTGTCTAGAGAATTAGTAATAGAGATTAATAAAACTGCAGATGAGCTGAAGAGGTAATTTGCTTCAGTCATCACAATAAAGGATACAAGGAACTTCACAATGGCTCTTGTGGTGCAGTGGTAGAGACCCTACCTCAGAGCCAGAGGGGCCGAGTTGAAGTCACACCTGCTCCAGAGGCATGTCAAAATGTATCTGAACAGGTTGATTTTAAAATATATAACGCCAAATCAGGTACAGAAAGAAAAAGATTGGCCTAAGATACAGAAAATAAGTGAGAAATTTAAAATGACATTTAAAATAGGAGGCTGTTGTGACGCAGTGGTACTGTCCCTACCTTTGAACCAGGAGGCCTAGATTCAGGTCCCATCTACTCCAGAGATGGATAATAATATCTGAACAGATTTAAGGGGTCTTAGGATGCAGTGGTAGTGTCCCTAACTTTGGTCCAGGAAGCCCAGTTCAAGTCCCATCTGCTCCAGGGATATGTAATAACATCTCCGAACAGGTTGATTAGAAAATATCTACAAGGAACATCACAGAAGCAGCTATAAATCAGGAACTGAAAAGGAGGGAGAAACTCAGGAAAATTACAATCACCAGTAAAGTGGCACTAAGTAAATCGTTAGAGTTGCAAGTTGTCAAGTGCCCGGGTTGCGGTAGACGTCATCACAGGATCTTAAAGGAAGTGGACAGTCAGACAGTTGATGGATTGGTTTTAATTTTCCAAAACTCCCCTGATCTGGGGAAGGTCCAATTTGATTGGAAGGTAGCAAAAAAGTGACCCACACCCACAACATTCAAAAAGGGTGGAAATAGCAGACCAGGCCAGTGAGCTTAATATCTGTCAAGGAGAATATGTTAGAAGCTATTTATTAAAAAGTTATAGCAGGGCACTTCAATAAGTTCAAGGTAATCAGTCAGAGACAACATGGTTTTGTGAAAGTGAAATCATGTTGAACTATGATTTCACTTTCACACAACCATGTTGTCACATATGAGGGAAATGTATGGTTGATAAATTTGTTGTTGAAACAAACATGGTAGGAAACTAAGTTGCAAAGAAGATATAAGGAGATACAAAAAGATACATACAACTTAAGTGAGACAGCAAAGATCCAGCAAGCTGGCAAATCATGTATAATGTGGAAAAATATGAAATTGTCCATTTTGGCAGGAAGAATAAAAAAAGCATATTATCTAAATGGTGAGAGATTGCAGAGCTCTGCAATACGGAAGATTTGTACCCTAAAACATAAATCATAAATGTTTAGTCTGCAAGTAATTAGGAAAGCTAATAGAATGTTATCATTAAATGACAGGCAGACCAAGCGGTGCAATGGTCTATTCTTGTTCCTTGTTTGCATTAGATAATTAATTTATTCTTCCTGGTTTATACTCTACATATTTTAATGAAGGTCTTTAAATTTAATTGGAGAATCCTTTCCATTGTTCCCCAGCACAGAAAAGTGCTTGAAATTATCTTCTGTAATGATAAATCATTGTTCAAATGTTCAATAAAATTCTGTGGGCAGCTATAAGTGTAATGCACAGTAAGCACTGCTCCTTCAAGTTCAATTTAGAGAAAATCCACTAATGCTACTTCATAGCAAATAAATAGTATAGCAGAAGATTGTATTTAGTTTAAGTCAATTGTTATTTCACAACTTTATCTTGAATTTCAGAATATTTACTTATTATTTATGTAGTATAAAAATTGTTTCAACAATTCTTGAAAAATACAAATTTTCAATGATCAAAAGTTTATACTGTTTACAGAATAGCAAAATAATTTGCTTGGATTTTCTTGGATTTAAAGATCTTGCACAAAAGGCTGAATATTTTGTACTTAGCACAAATTACATGTTTCAAACTGTAGTGAAGTTATGTATAATGTTTAGAGAACACAAGATAAAAGAGTGAAAGCAGCTTTATGGAAGTAGTATCTTTAGTATTTATACCCTGCTCAGATATCAGACATCTGCTTTTTCAGTTCACAAACAATGGCTTATTAAGCAGTTAGGTCTTGACACAGATGGATATCAGCCATATCTAATTTTTAGCAATGACGCATTTGTTTTAGTCTGTGAAAACATGATAGGGATTGATCAGTTTTATTTTGTGGCTCACAGTTAAACGTAGAAAGAAATGATTTACTGGTGTTAAAAATATTAAACAGGTTAAATGAGTGAAATTTTCTCCACAAAGTGGCTCAGACCACCAGAGAACGGAAAGAAAAATTCTTTATTCTCGCGTTAATTCAAAATCAACTTGAAAGAAAATTCAGATAAAATTCTGTAACAAATTGAGGTGGTGTCCAGTACAAGCTTGCTGTTCCTTTGTTCTATTGTCCTATCAAATATTTTGTTCCTATTGTTAAGTTTCACAAAATCTTACAACACAGCACGAGTCATGGCTGACAATATTAGGTTTGTTGGCCAAAAATAGAGGATCTAAGACAGATTTTCATTCATACACACAAGTCTACCGGGTCAGGATCTTGCCTATTGTTCTTGTGGCAAGTAGAACAAAAGAATGAGGAGGTGAAGACGATGCTGAGGATTTTAGGGTACTCCAAAGTGAAGTGATGTACTTTCTTGCTGCCCAGAGTGACAACTGGCGAGCCTGCAAACGACAGTGGTTCTTTGTTCAACCAGCAGAATAAGAGACTAGTTCAGGATATTGCATCAAATTTTTGGCACCATACTTTAGAAAGGATGCAGAAAATGCAGAAAAGGTTCACGGAAATTGTTTTAGGGATAAGGAACAACCAGTTATGATTAGATTGGAAAAGTTGGGATTGTTTTCCTTGGAAAAAATAAGGCTAAGAAGATCTGAATGAGGTATTCAAAATCATGAGAGGTCTCTACAGAGAGAATGGGGAGAAACTGTTCCCATTCATGAAGAATCAAGAACAAGAAGGCACAAATTTAAACTAATTTGCAGTAGTAGTAAAAATGACTCAGTGGAAGCAGGTTCAACCAAAGTACCCAAAAGAGAATTAGACTGTTATCTGAAAAAGAAGAATGTAAAGGGTTACGCTAAGAAGGCAAGAGAAGGTCAAAAACGCAACTACACATTTGGAGATGATAATGAGCTGAATGGTCTCCTTCTTCACTGTAACAATAATGTGATTGATGGAAGTCAACATGGGGTCAGATTTAATAGTTTGAAAGTCTGATCATTGAAAGGGTGTCTACTGAAGCTCTAGTCAAAACAGCTGGAGCCAGTGGCAGATCAGAAAGTGCACCGAAGTGTCCCACTGTTCAGATGCTACTCATTTGGAAAGGTCCAGGAGAGAAGTTTACGTGAAGTTATGTACAGTTCAAGATTTAGTACCATTGCTCTTTCAATCTGCTTCTAATGGAAATAGTAAATATCACCAGCTAATCCTGCCAACAGATCTATCAACATTACATATGAATGGTTCAAATGGGATTGGCATATGTTAAAAATCTCAGATGTCACATGGCTTTGGACACAGCAATAGTCACTTTGAGAAAGGTGGGATGTGTCAGTCAGCTGTTAGCAAGATGTAATTTGGCAATGTCCATTTCAGATGTGTATTTGAGACACTGGGAACAAAAATAGATAGGTAGGTTTCTGGACCCCTCAGTGCCGACTTTTCCAAGCTGTCAGAGTTCATAACATTGTTCGATGTTCCTGGGATCGACTGCCTATTTATAGGAGTCTGAGAAGGGAAGGGTGCAACTCTGGAGTCTATCAGGCAGCATTTGACCTTATTCCCAGACAGACCAGTTGGTGAATTAATCCAAACAAGAACTGCCCATTTTCAGGCCATTATAAACAAGATCATTTTTTGGTGGACAGAAGTGGATTCATGACTATAACAACTTACAACATTTAATCATGCATTTCACATCAAATTTCCATTAGGTGAACTACAAGGTAGTAAGTAGTTATTGCATGGATGTCTGAAGTAACTATCTGGACCAGAAAAAACTTTTCTTTAGATAAGGATTATAAGTTAAGACTTAGGGACAACTCCAGTGCTTCCCAAACTAATTTTAAAAGTCTTTCCTGCACCTTACAAAAATTAGCTTCTCATCCATTACCTTTTCTTCATCATCCTCCTCATCCTCATCATCTAAAAAGCGTATTGCACTGATTCTGTTCATTGCACGTTCATTCCACATTTCATCGGACATGTCATTCACCAAATTTTCCAGTGCTCCACAGCGAGGCAAGTTATCTGCTGGAATCAATTTAGCACAGAAAATTATATAAACATATTTCCACAAAGTTATAAAATTTGGTTAGTAAAAAACAAGCAAATGCAATCTTCTAAGTTGAACGATTGACAAGTTGCTCTGTTTTAAAATGAAAGCAATTTTGCTCTAAAAATTTTGTAAAAACGTTTTCAACATTTTTCAGAGATAATGTATGAAATGAAAAAGTTCTTAAACATTCTAAAGTACACATTAGGATTTTTCATCTAGTTTTGTATTGCCAAGCATCCGTCTGTTTTAATTCAGTGCTTTTTCCACTCCTTTTCACCTGTTCGTCAGTAAATAATTTTGAAACAGATTTTACGAACTACAACTCACATAAGGATCCACCTTAAATATCGTGTATACTCTTCTCAAGTCATAAACCGTGCAGATTCAATATGGCCAAAGCTTCAACGTTATCCAAAAGTAACTGGACTTTCAAGTTAGAAGACAGGGTTGAAGTTTATATAATTTCACCCATTATTCTCTTCAACTATTCCGCAACTTCAAAACTAATTCTTTCGAAAGTGAAAGGCATAATTACCCACAAATTATAACACTTAACTAAAACTCACTTCCTGCATTGGATAAAGAAAATATTTAATTGCATTTGTCACCACAAGCAAACACCATTTTCTTATCATGAGGGGATGGTGGATTTGAGAATGGAGAGATGAAGGCTGAGGGCTAAAAAGGGCAAAAGTAAACATCACAGTCACAAATCAAAATAACACATGAACTGTACACAGTACTTGCAAAAGAACAAAATCAAAAGTTAACCTAAATAGTGTTTTAAAGTCAAAAAGGTATAAATTCCTATTTTTTTTTTTAAAATGTGCTTGCATAACAGTAGCTTCCTACAAGAGCTGCCATGCCTTTAAAGGAGAGATGAGGAAAGAGGCCAAGCCAAAGAAATAGAGCTCTAAAATTGTAAAAAGAAAACGAGCTTTGGTAAACAGTGTTTGGAAAGATACAGAAAGTGAGAAGAAAACAAGCAGAATTGAAACAAAGAGCAGAATAAGGAAAACGTTGCATGATGTGGCTTGAAAATAATGGCGGGTGTCAGTATTGAAAAAAAGTACACAATGCTGCTCACACTGGCACAAATTAGACTGCAAAGAAACACAGAAAAAGCAAACAGAACACAATGAGACTTGAAAGAAAATGGGTCTTTTTAAAAAATTGAGAAAATGATCATGTTTTCCATAAAACAAATTAACCAAACCGCTAAAATGACATGAATAATGCTTTACATCCCAGAACCATTTGTGCTTTTAGCAAAGTCAGGCATACACACTGAATAAATTCTTTATTTCCACATCATTGCACACAACATTGGCCAATGCATGCAGCCATTATATGAATTAAACCTGCAAGAGTTGATTTATCACTTTGTGCCTGCTGCCTAACTATTGTAGCCTCAATTTATGGTCATGCAGCTGGGCAGACTTAACACAGTTCTTACTAACGTGTCTACATGATTAGGACCTCATTAAATGTGATATTTGTAGACTTCAGAATCACATACATAACATATAAATGATACCAGTGAGAGATGTATAGATAGGTTAGGAGACACAATATCATTTGTTCAATTAATTTTCAGATCATGGACTGAGATGCCATGCAGGCTTGAACAAAAACACTGGTTGTAATTGGTAATAAGATTAATTTATCTTTGTGCAAGAGTAGCTTATAAACTTGGTGCTACTTCTGAATCACTAAACTTGGTGAACAGAGAAAAGAATTCCTTAACTGAAAAAGAAGATACCTAGAAGACATGTTTGAAAGGACCAGACTTGTAATCAATCACATTCAGATGGAATACAATGCAGGGTCTGCCTTAGAAATTTACTTTGGCACATTGATGTTAGGTGCTTCTATAAATAATTTCAGCACTTTGCAATTAGCCATGTGCTGCCCAACTATTTTTAGCATAAACTATTCAACTTAGTGAATGGCAGAACAGGTTCAATGGGCTGAATAGCCCACTTCTGCACCAAACCTTCTGTACATAGATTTGCTTTCAAAGTTTGGTTAGCGTGAACATTTTAAGAGGCCAACTCGGAGGTTCCTAGGCAACATCTGCCTTTGTCCTAAGTAGCATAAGTCATGGATTTGGAAGATGTCATAGTAGTAAATTTGCACATTCTACGGCATGGAGGGAGTGTGTGTTTCAGCCAGGCAGTACCATGCCAGTCAATGTTCATTTAATCGCTTCCAATCACAATGACTGAATCCCACTGTCGAGTGTGCAGGGAAACTATGATTGAAAACAATGCAAATGACCCATTTATCAGGAAAGTGCTTAGATTATATAAACATAAGATAGCTGATAGCCTGCGTATCTTGTATCTAAGTTCTTTAACTTAGCCAACAATTTTTTAAAATGGAACTTCAAAGTAGTCTTTCATTCCCCTCCCTCTCCATTTCCTTATTTTAGCCACTTCAATGGAGTTCAGCGGAAAATAAACTTAGAATTAATTCAAAACCATTAGGGATTTGGACAGAGTAAATTGGAAAAACTGTTCCTATTGGTGGAAGCATCAAGAATCAGAGAACATAGATTTAAGAAGATAAAGAAACAACAACTGCACAAGGGAGAAACTCAGGAAGTGGTTAGAATCTGGAATGTACTGCTCAGGAATGTAGCAGAGGTAGATCCAATCATGGCTTTCAAACAAATGTATAATTATTTGAAAAGAAAAAAAAGTACAGGTCAATGCAAATGTTTTAGGGAGTAGCACTAAATCAGATGCTCTTGCAGTATGAATATGACAGAAACAAATGGCCTCCTTCTGTATTGTTACTATTCTATCATTACAGTTTCTCAAAAGGTTTTTACTGATTGAGGATGCAATGCTTTTCTGAGGTTCCTTTCCTTCTAGTAAAGGCCTGAAATCGTACAAAATAAATGAAAATCATTGCTTGACTATAACAGCTCAGTACATTTTAATCTCATATTTCCACAATATTGGATTGCAGCCATTATTGCCAACTCAACGAACTTGGAAGATCAGCAAGACCACTGAGATTCCAAGTAGATGTAAAAGTTCTTCCCAATCCTGAAATGGGGAGAAAAATCACAGGAGTCATACCCCAAAACAAGCTGCTAATCTCTAATCATCTTATGGTGGAAAAAGACACACAAAAAGGAGAATGAAAATGAGAATTCACACAGTACACACTCATGAAAAGCCACAAACTAAATGACCAAATAAATGTACACTGTTCTTTTGAAGATGGTCAAGTGATAACAGTAACAGCGATAGGGATCCGTATCTCCAGCTTCAGGACCCCCAGACCTCCATCTCTATTTCATGCGTATAAAATGCCATCAGTAGTAAAGTGTGGCAAGTGTAAAATCTCAAGGAAATCTGAGCAATTCTCCAATCAAACGATTTTAAACATCGCACCCAAAAGACTTCTCTGTAGTGAAGGCTTCAGGCACTCAGTAGACAGTACTAAAAGCGTTGAAGACCAACATGAGCAAGCTGCTGACACAGATGCAGGACCTTGCTCCAGCAATTGGTATACATTTCACCCTTAAATAACAGGCAAAGCAAATACTAATCTCTAACTCATTGCATCTAATTAACTCCTGTTGAACACAACCCATGCCAAGTGTTGAGATGTTGATCAGACTCATATGAATGGTGTTTGCAAGCTCCTAGCTTGGATTATCAGCAGAAGTCATATCAATAATCTTCTGACACAGAGGTGAGAAATCAGCCAACTGAGTCGTCAACACTCCAGGGAACTAAGCAAAGATGGCAGCAAAGTATAGAAATATGGACGCACAATGACAGACATTTTTTTTTTAAAACAATGTTGGCCAGGGGAGTTGTGCATGAGTAACTCAAAGACATTGCTAAGTAATAGATACCTAACAGTGAACATTGAAATTCAAGCAACATACTGCATGACACAATGTGCTCAAAATCAAAGTAATGGCCCTACTACAGGAGGACTTGGACGTCTTAGCAGCATGACTTAGATGTTTCTGACAAAATTTCCAAACAGACTCGTCCAACCGTGCTTCGGTGGAAAGGAGGTGGGAAAGAAGTTTTTATTTCTGGGTCCTTTAATGGCTGGATTAACAAAATCTCACTTGGCAGAAGGTAGGTGCTTCCATAATCTTCTCTGGATTCCTGATTATCAGCTTGGCACAAGTTTGAGCAGTCACCTGCAGTGATTATAGGGGACTAGCTGCTTGCACAAAGCATATGCAACCAGCCCTAAGCCAAAACAAAGGACCTCACATTCATGATTGCAAATAGCAGGAGATATTAAATATGCTGCTGAAAACTGGCACACGTTTAGGTAAGGATAGGGCAAATAGTGAGGACAAGTTCTAGAAGGTCTTTCCTTCTTGTTAATTCTCTCATTACTCATCACAGGCCCATTCTGCCAGAGGCAGAAATGACCACTGCACAGTCTTGCGAAAATGAGGCTTTCTTGCTTACTGAAGTTGTCTTCCACTATGTGGTGTAGCACTGCCACTATGACATAACAGGACATTCACAAGGTGTTGTATCAGCAGCAAAATTGTATTTGACAAAATAGCCTAGGTCATCCCTCACTCTTACCATCAGCATCAAACCAGGGTATTAATTGTGATTATCTGAGGAGTAGTGGGGAGCATGCTAGAAGCACCAAAAGCATACCTAAAAATGACATGCAACCTGGTGAAGCCAGTATTACTTGCATCCTAAACTGTAAAAGCAGAATGTTATAAACTGAGCTAACCAATCTCATTACCAGTGGATGAAATCAGAATTCTGTAGTCATGCCACAGTCAGGAATGTCAGTGGTTAATTGAACAACTATTGGGATGTTCCACAAACATTTCAGATAAGATGACTAGCAAAGGTCTTTCCCCTAAGCGGGGGAGTTCAAAACCACACAGCATATTTTTAAGTTGAGAAGAGAAAGTTTTAGGGAGGACATGAGGAGCAACCTTTTTTTTAAACAGAGTGTGGTTCATGTGTGGAATGAACTGCCAGGGGAAGTGGTGGATGCGGGTACAATTACAACATTTCAAAGACATTTGGATAAGTACATAAATAGGAAAGGTTTGGAGGGATATAGGCCAAACACAAGCAAATGGGACGAGTTTAGTTTAGGAAATTCGGTCGGCATGGACAAGTTGGACCAAAGGGTTTGGTTTCATATTGTATTACTCAATGACTCTCTAAGTGATACTTCCTAAGTAGTTCAACTATGTACAATGTATTTGGATTACTCATGGACATTTTCCCTGACACTTTATTTATCCAATCTAAGAAATTAGTCATTATTTTTCAACAACGTCACAGACAAAGGAAAAGCAGGGGAAAGTCGAGCAAGAATGATGCAGACTTTGAAATAAATTACTGAATAAGTGGAAAGAGGAAATGTTTACATATAAAATCAAATATAAGAACAATCCCCCAGCTGCAAGTAGGCTAAATTTTACATAAAATCAATAGGCATGTATCATTCCTCTAAAAAACCCTTCTAATTATCCTTTTTTTGACTAGATTACTGTATACTGGTGGCAGATACTGTACCATAGTTGTTCTGTTCAGAAGGCAGTTGAGGAAGCAACACACAGGTCAGAACCTTTTCCCTTGTTTCAACATCGATGTCAGTCTGGAAAGTTAGAAGAGGCTGTGACTGGTTTTCAGACAACCAAAGGGCCTTCAGTTTCAAGCTGGTCATTGATAATGGCAAATATTTCAACCTGTGTTGAAGAAAATGGCAAGAGTTTTTGCAAAAAAGTGAAGATAGAGAAAGATCATTAAATGGTTTAACCACAGTAGGGTGCAGACTTGGGTACTCATTCCAGGAGGAAATCACTGAACATTCAGTACTGTAAGCAACAACAGCTGATGTTTCTTCCTTCCAGAAATTTGCTAAGGCTACACAGGCTATGGTGACACAGGGCTGGACCTTACAGCATTTTCACCAACATTTTGAAAGCAAGGGTAAGAGATCTCATAAAACGCAACATTGAGCCTTCCCACTATCTTCCTCCTGCCCCCACCCGTCTCCAATTTTACAACTCGGACAGAGAAGTGATAGTTTTCGGCAGATTACCTGCACTTAAGCTAATGTCATCTTTAAGTGTTCATGTAATTGGCATTTGTTGGCCATCCAAGGGCCTCATTCCATCATTATTTTACCCCCAACAGGAAGAGACTTACACCAGGCAGCTATCCCAGCAACTTTTGTGTCCAGCAAGGGATCACCTTCATCCAATTAAGCTTATGAGCATGAAGGTCATTCCTTTTCACTCACCACTGGTGACTCAAAACCAGCCTTTCACTCTCCCTATCCCCACGCTATGGTCTGCCAGCCAGACCCAATCATTCCGGGAAATTAGCTTGAAGTCCAGCTCCATAACATCCTAGTTTGGAGAATGCCTATAGTCGCAGCAGTGGCTGCGACATGAAACTGGCATTGCCAGGACTAAAGAGACACAGGCCATTTTGTCTAGCAGCTCCTCTCCATCTCGGGGTAAGAGTCTTCACTTTAGGCAATGAACTCTGCTTGCAATGTTAACTGGCTGTAGAAGAGCTGGCTTTTTGGTGGATTCTTGGCCAACCTTTGTTTTAGTCATGGCTACAGCGTACTGTAAAACTGTATCCTGTAAAATCCATCCTATAATCTGAAAATTCAGCCTAATCTATGATTAATTTGGTCTACTGACCACTAATACTCTCAGTTCTGATTATGCAATGACTTGGACCTTAAGCAACGATTCGATTTTTCTTTAAAGAAAAACGTAAATTCATCAAAGCTTTCAGGATTCTTAACTAATTACATATTCCAGGTAATCATTAATGGCAGAAATACACACATTACATCTATTCACGATTTATCATCCGAGTCATCATACATGTTTATCTTAAGGGAGATTTAGTATGTCTGGATTTTGATGGGTGATGGACAGGCCAGCTCTCTCCATTCATCCAACAGCCTCTAGTGCACTTCTTTTTGGAGGAAGTAAGCTGGGAAGAATGCAGAAGTACAATGAATCTGTAGGAAGAGAAACCATGGCTTGGTTTCCACGCTCAATGCAACACCCACATTATCATTCAGCTTAGCAAATGCCTCATAGCTGCTTTGTCCACATTTACTGAAGGAAGATGTTCCATTACAGCAGCTTCTTATTGAAGGGTTCTTGCAATTCTTGTTGGGAACAGGTCAAGCAGTGGCATTTCAAAGGCAAGGTGAGGGTCTGCGTGATCTCCAAGTAGATGGACTGGAGAGCAATATGACCAGAATGTCTGCAATACAATAGTTTAGGTTGTAGTTTGTCCAGGGTTTTGTGCATTCAAAGGGTTTATACAAGATTCCCAACTCCACACATTAGGCTGCAAATTAAATTAATGCCAGTCATTTTCTAACATTATCAGGTAGCTTTGGTTGCTGCAGTTTTTATCAAGGAAAATTATTGGAGTAAAGAGGGTTTGTTGGCAGGATAGTTTGATTAATGGTTATTTTCTACTGGATTTTCAGGAAAACTACTTGACTTTGAAGTAATAATGATCATTTCAGAATTAACATTCACATTCATTAAGGCAAGAAATGTATTTTTGAATTTCTCAGGTACTGCACATTATCTAAAAATTAAGTTCAAAGCAACTTATTTTATGTTTACATACGTGCACTTCTAAACCTTTTCTAAATTGACACAAACCATTTGTATCACTGTCATTTTGCTGTTCAAACATGCATCTAAATTTTTGACTACTATTGTCAACTCTAATAACTTTCTGTAATGTAATTAAGCATGTTAAAAATATACACCTCCACCCTCCCAATATACCTACCTGTTTCCAGCTAGGTCTAGCACATGGAGTTCAGTTGCCTGCGAAATTTCTGGCGGAATTCTGGTTAATCTGTTATCACGTAGACTGAAGACATTAAGGCAACAGCAGCCACCAATCTGCATTTGAAAATAAGGGCTTAGAAAAGTTACCATTTCTTCTACTGTCTCGATGGATTACAATCTACCTTCTTTAACACAATCCAAATGCAGAATTTTCAATGTATTACTACTCATATTAGATGCAAATGCCTGTGTGTAATAACCAACATCAATTATTGAACATTAACTAACGACTAGCTCAGATTCTGTGGTCAGTGAAGTAGTGCAAAAACTGGTCACTGATTTCAAAAAGGCTGTCTCCAAAGATCTACCATCTATGTGGCATGAATTATCCCTTTCACAATGCAAATTTAAATTTAGCACCAATTCAGAGGGCTATCGAAGCAACCAGGGGACAGGCAAAGTCATCAAGCAGAATAAGCAGCCAGTCACAGTGAAGTATTCTCACATGCAGCTAGCCAGGAAGTAAAATGCACTTTCCCAGAGAGCCAAACACATGGGATTAAGGAAGCACTTGAAATATCACAAATCCAATAAAACTTTCAAGCATGACTTTGTCATATCATGTAGAAGTTGGAATTCCCAAATTGAAATTTAGTTTTGCAGAGTGAACAAGCTGATTAACAGCAATTACAAATTCAGTGCATTATTAGAAACCCAGTTACATCACATTTAAAAAGATATAATTTTTGCAATGAGATGCATAATTTAAAAGGGCAATTTTTTATCAGTTCAGTGATTTCTGCTTACTTGCAGCCTCAATAGCACATAATGTAGAGAAGTCAGAGGGAGACAGAGTTTTAACAGCACCAAAAGGGTCCCTCCACCCTTCCTGTTGATGCCAGTCATCAAGGATCTATTTATTTTAATCCCAATTCCAACACTTGGCCCATAGCCTTGTATTCTATGACATTTCAATTGCTCATCCAAAATATTCTTAAGTGTCTTGACAGCTCCTGCCTCTTCAACCTTTTAAACAGTAAGTTCTAGATACACAAACCTCTGGGTAAGAATATTTTTTTCAAATTCCTTCTAAACTTCCTGCTCCTTAAGTTAACCACTCCTCTCTGGTTAATAAGCCCTCTAGTAAAAGAAAAAAATCTCCCTATCTATACCCCTCAGACCTTTGTACATCTTAGTCAGTCAATTTGTCCTGGATGGTGTCAACCTTCATGATGTTGTGGTTGCACTCATCCAAGCAAGTGTAGAGTATTCCATCACACTCCTGACTTGTTGATGGTGGAAAGGTTTTCAGGAGTCAGGAGAGGAGTTACTCGCTGCAGTATTCCTAGCCTCCGAACTGTTCTTGTAGCCACTGCATTTATGTGGTGTGAGTCCAGTTGAGCTTCTGATCAATGATAACTCCCAGGATGTTGATAGTGGAGGATTCAGTGATGATAACACCATTGAATGTCATGGGGCGGTGGTTAGATTGTCTCTTACTGGTGATGGTCATAGCCTGGCATTTGTGTGCGTGAATGTCATTTGCCAATTGTCAGCCCGAGCTTGGATATTGTCCAGATCTTGCTGCATTTGAACATGGACTGCTTCAGTATCTGAGGTGTCGCGAATGGTGCTGAACATCGTGCAATTAATGGCGAACATCCCCACTTCTGACCTTATGATGGAGAGAAGGTCATTAATGAAGCAGTTGAAGATGGTTGGGCCTATGACACTACCCTGACGAACTCCTGCAGAGATGTCCTGGAGCTGAGATGACTGGCCTCCAACAACAACAACCATCTTCCTAGTGTCAGGTATGACTCGAACTACCAGAGAGTTTGCCCCTGATACCCGTTGATTCCAGTTTTGCTAGAGCTCCTTAATGTCACACTTGGTCGAATGCAGCCTTGACGTCAAGGACTGTCACTCTCACCTAACCTCTGGAATTCAGTTCCTTTGTCCATGGTTGAACCAAGACTGTAATGAAATCAGGAGCTGAGTGGCCCTGACAGAACTCAAACTGGGTGTCACTGAGCAGGTTACTGCTGAACAGGTGCTGTTTGATAGCACTGTTGATGACGCCTTCCATCACTTTACTGATGATCGAGAGTAGACTGATGGGGCAGTAATTGACTGGGTTGGATGTATCCTACTTTTATGTACAGGACATACTTGGGCAATTTTCCACATTATCGAGAATGCATGTGGTGTTGCCAGTGTTGTAACTGTACTGGAATAACTTGGCTCGGGGCACAGCGAGTTCTGGCACACAAGTCTCCGGTACTATTGTCAGAATGTTGTCAAGGCCCATAGCCTTTGCAGTATCCACTCTAAGCTCTTCACATCACATGGATTGAATCGAATTGGCTGAAGACTGATATCTGTAATGCTGGGGACCACTGAAGGAGACGGAGATGGATCTTCCACTCGGCATTTCTGGTTGAAGATTGCTGCGAAAACTTCAGCCTTATCTTTTGCACTGATGTGCTGGGCTCTTCCATCATTGAGGATAGGGATTTTGTGCAGCCTCCTCCTCCGGTGAGTTGTTTAATTGTCCACCACCATTCCTGACTTGATGTGGCAGGACTGCAGAGCTTAGATCTAATCCGTTGGTTGTTGGATCACTTAGCTCTGTCTATCACTTGCTGCTTATGCTGTTGGCATGCAAATAGTCCTGTTTGGTGGCTTTACCAGGTCAATACCTCACCTTCAGGTATGCCTAGTGCTATTCCTGGCATGCCCTCCTGCACTCCCCATTGAACCAGAGTTGACCCCTGGCTTGATGGTAATGGTTGAGTGGGGATATGCTGAGCCATGAGGTAACAGAATGTGCTGGAGTACAATTCTGCTGCTGTTGATGGCCCACCATGCCTCATGGATACCCAGTCTTGGGTTGCTAGATCTGTTCAACGTCTGTCTCATTTGGCACGGTATAAGTACCACACAACATGACGGAGGTTAATTTCAATACGAAGGTGGGATTTGATCTTCACGAGGACTGTGTGGTGGTCGCTCTTACTGATACTGTCATGGACAGATGCATCTGCAGCTGGCAGATTGGTAAGGATGAGGTCAAGTATGTTTTCCCCACTTGTTGGTTCCCTCATTACCTGCTACAGACCCAGTCTAGCAGCTAATGTCCTTTAGGACCCGACCAGCTCGATCAGTGGTACTGCTGCCAAGCCACACTTAGTGGTGGACATGAAAATCCCCCACCCCCAGAGCACATTTTGTGCCCTTGCCATCCTCAGTGCCTCATCTAAGTGTTGCTCAACATGGAGAATTACTGATTCATTAGCTGAGGGAGGACGACACGTGGTAATCAGCAGGAGGTTTCCTTGCCCATGTTTAACCTGAAGCCACAAGACTTAATGGGGTCCACAGTCAATGTTGAGGACTCTTAAAGCAACACTCTCCTAACTGTACACCACTGTGCCGCCGTCTCTGCTGTGTCTGTTCTGCTGGTAAAACACTGTCTGTAACGTATGGTTCTGTGAGTATAACAATACCAGGCCGTTGCTTGACTGATCAGTGAGACAGTTCTCCCAATTTTGGTACTACGTCAGTGAGGAGGACTTTGCAGAGTCGACAGAGCTGTTTCTGCTGTTGTCTTTTCCGGTGCCTCGGTCAATGCCAGATGATCCATCCAGTTTCACTTCTTTGAGACTTTGTACTGACTGAATGGCTTGCGAGGCCATTTCAGAGGGCAGTTGAGAGTCAACCAAATTGCTGTAGGTCTGCGGTCACATGTAGGCAAGACCAGGTGAGGTTGGCAGATTTCCTTCCCTGAAGGACATTCATAAACCAGATGGTTTTTCCAACAATGGACAATGATTTCATTGGTCATCAATACATTGGGATTCGAACCTGGATCCCCCAGAACATTATCTGGGTCTCTGGATTAATAGTCCAATGATAATACGACTAGGCCATCACCTTCCCTTCACTTGACCACTTAACAGTCTTTCATGGATTAATGGACTTGTACATCAGGGTCCAACTGGTCCTAAGTACTTCCCAAGTCCTACCATTCAATGCATCACCTCACTTTTCAGAATGAAATGCAATTTGTCACTGTTTAGCCCATCTGACTAGCCCATCTACACCGGCCTCTGGTCTTTGGCTTTCCTCCTCGCTAATTACCACATCACCAATTTTTATGTCTTCTGCAAACTTACTGATCTTACCTTCTATATTAAAGGCTAGAAAATAAACGTACACAATAAATAGCAAAGAACCCAGCACTCAATCCTGCAGTATGCCAATGGACATGAGCTTCTAGTCACAAAAACACTCTTCAACCATTATTCTCTGCTTACTGCCATTATGCTAATTTTGGATTCAATTTGCCAAATTGCCCTGGATCCCATGGGCTCTTCCCATCTTAACTAGCCTGCCATGGGAGACCTTGTAAAAATCCTTATTGAAGTCCATGTAGACTACGTCAAATGCATTACCTGTTTGTACACACCTAGTCACCTCACTGAAGAATTCAATTAAATTTGTAAATGTACTATCAGTGTCAGCAATTTTTGGATTTTCACATGTAACCTTTCATAGTTACTCCAGAGGTTGCCGTCAGTTGCAGAAGAACAACAATGGTGGACGGTAGCAGTTTTACATTCATTATTGCCAAGAAATCAAAACCAATTATGACATAGATCCTGCTAAGACAAGTCATTAGTGGGCATCATTGAAGGCTTCTTTTTCCACTCTTCAGCTCAAAACATATTTTGCAAAACATATTTACTTTAAGTGCACACTGATAATGGTAAAGTAGGGAAATTATGCACCCTCAGTGAAACCAAAGCCCAGTCAACTCCTTAACCACTGAGATTTAATAGGTGAGGAAGAAACAAGAACAAAATAGAAGGAAATAGAGAATAAATTAGAGCTGCATCAGATACAAAAGGAGGAAAAGAGAAGAAAGATTGGATTAGGAGAGCACAGAAAGGAAAAGAAAGTTTTATCTTAAAATCATCAAATGACAATTCAGGAAAAGTAGTAAAAGGTTTAAACTGTTGTGTCTCTGGTCCAGAGTTCCTCTGACATGGCACTAGCAATTTTTATATTGATAAGCTGCTACATTACAGTTAAATTTCAGCCCTAGCTTC